AGCTCTGCCCCAGGAGCCGCCTGCCCGTGGGGGCTACCAGTCCCCAGGGCCTGGCAGGACCCAGCAGCCCCCGCAGTCCGCCGAGCGTCGCCGCCATGCTGGGCCATGCCCGTGTCATTTAATTCTTTCCTCTGAAAGAATTAAAATTTTCCATAAAGAGCCAAGCATTCACTAAGAAAAGTGTTATAAGGGACTTAAACTTCCACTGAAAACCAGGGAGAGGACAGTAGATGTCCATTCGCAGTAGGTAGAATGAGTGGGACATGACACTGTGATGCCAATGCTCATTTACTGCTCAGCAGAAAAGAAGTTGCTTGTGTTGGTCCTGTTACAGACTTCATCATCTTCACTTCTTTTCAGTGGATTTGGTGTCCAGTATGTATTTGAGAGACAAAAGAGTGGAGTTAGAATTTAATAAATACAGTTAAGATATTATCTGTGTAATTATTCTATGAAATCTACAAAGAGTATGTAATAAAGGTATGGAATACCTTTAATTTTGTGTTAGGAAAAGCAGAGCAAATTTCTTTTTATAAGTGAATGCACCAAAGAAAAAAATGTAGTTGTAAAATTATATATTGACTTCACTTTCTGTCTGAGGATTGAAAACTAAATCACCAGTTTTCAAACTGTTTCAAATAGTATTTGTTCATATGCTGTATAGAAAAGGTCTTCACAAGAGTGCTGTCTCTTTCATTTTTAGCCTTTAATACACTTTAAAAGGCATCCAAAAATGTTAATTACCCACCTAAAAATATTTGTCACTGAAAAGATACAACACATATCACAGATAGAGCTGACATGGTATAGATGTAGGTTTGTAGGAGAGTATACCAAAGTAAAAGATCCCACTATAAATAAGTTTTGTGCTCCTGGGCTACGAGTTTGTATTACATGCTCAGAAGCCAAAGGCCATGCTGGGAGAGGACTATAATGGAAAGTACCAACTCTTATTTGAAAATTAAGGTAATACGGTCAGAAAAGATTGGAAGTTTGATCTTGGTTCGTATTAAACTGATGTTGCCACACTGGATCTCAAGCCAGCTCTTAGAACAGAACTTGAGGAACTTCTGACCACAGTCAGAGCGATATCTGGTGACCCTGCTTCACATGCTGGATCTGGTACATGGGCGTAGTTAGTGTTTTCCCAGATGATTAATTTTAGTTAGTTGTTTTGGGGCATTCAGGACATTCTTTGCTGAAAATTGTGGATGCATGGCAATAAGAAATAAAGTACGTAAAACTCTATGACCTGTTTGGAAGGAAGGTTGGTTGAGTCCTGTGAGAACACTAAGAAGGAATATTTATACATAGGACATGAATGTTAAATCATTTAGACCATAGCTTTCTGCCTTTCACCTAGCTTTTTTCCACTGCAGATAGAAAGATGTTACTGTATGGAAATACTGTCCTGACCAGTGGAATAAGGTGATGGCTGCTGAGATAGTCAAGATTAGATTTATGCGTTCAGAAAAGGAATAAACACTCCAAAAAGTTAAGAACCTAATGTAATTCTATGACCAGAGGAGTAAACACAACCTATTTTTCTATGGAAAGATGTCCTACACCTCTAAAACCCTTTCTCCAGTGTTACTGCCTTAATATTGCCAGCTGTTTCTCAAATCCTTTCATCCTGGGTTTAACTCCATCTCCCTGCTCCCTCATGTTCCCTGAGCCTCCCTACACATCACCTGCTTCCCTCCACAGCCCACCCATGAGCAAGACAGTGTGCACTGCGGGTATTTTGGACCTGTATGTACCTCCCCAATCTTTTTTTCATTTGTTTTTTAACCAGAAATCTAAAAAAGTTGCTGCGGGGCTTAGTGAATGACTCAGTTGAGCATTACAGAAAGACAAAACTCAGACAATGAACACTTCTTCTTTGCCTTAGAGAATTAGGCTTAAAATAAAAAGAGAATTCTTTTGAAAGATTATTTACATTTGCTTTTTAAAATAAAGATACTTCATGTGTTTATATCTTTTTAATTTGTTTCAGATTATATTCTGGAAGCTAAGTTTATTGCTAGACATTATCACCACCACAGCAACTTTAATTTTAGAAGTTACTGTCAGGCAGTGAATTTTAGATATGTAATCACCAGTATTTGTACCCACAGCCTGCTCTAAGATATACTCCTGTAACTCGGCTACAGAAATTTATTATGTGACTTATATATACATAAAAACAGATCAATTTTCAAATGTGCTTGTTTTTAATCAACATGGCAAGAATAATTTGCAAAGATTTTTGGTGGGTATTTCTGAATACTGCTTTGTAAACAGAAAATTAAAGAAACTTCATTAAATAAGTTCAATGCTGTAAATTATTCACACAGCATTACTGTTACAGCATTTTGAATTCAGAACCTCAGTGCTTCTAATCTTAGACTCAGACAATGGACACAATATTTTCAATTGTCTCATCCTATTCATTCAGGGATGTTTACAGAGCAATATGGCACAGAATAAAGAGCAAAGATCCTCACATTTAACAAGTCAGATGCAGAGGGCAAGCATAATGAGCTGTTGGATACAGGATAAGAAATGTTTGGAGAGGGCTGAAGGGGAATGTATTAGACTTTGAAATTTCTTGGAAATGAGAGTAGCTATAACTGATGAGGTAGGGAAGGGATATCCAATGGAAAGGATATCCAATGGATGGATGCTCACAGCAGCATTTTGAATGGATGACAGATTACATTTGTTGAGGCTGAGGATGAACATTGTAGTAATTGAGATGCACGGTGATACAAGCCTGGGTGACATTTTTAGCAATCTGGAAGAATCTGTGTTTTAAAGAGTGAAACTTTATAAAGAATCTGCTTACGTAGAGCCTTGATGGAAAGATCAAGAGGGGTGCTCTTGGGGTAATCACAGAAGGGAGAGGATGGGAGAGAACTGAGACCTGTCAATGCATTTGAAAGCTGATGCTGCTGACTGTGCAAGCTAATTATATTTGGCCTGGAACTGAGGAATGGGAGAAAAGATGCTGTCGAGCAGAGTGCAAATCAAAGCAAAATAGATGCAGATGCTTGGTAAGTTAGCGTCTGGAGACATACAAGTAGTAACATGGACTCCAGGAACAGATAATGGGAGAGAGATCTCAGTAAATTTTAAAAGCAGTCACTTTGGGTAAAGTATATACTGGCAGGCCTGACTGTGTCTTTGTTTTGACTTGTTTTTCTCTGTATGTTCCTGTTGTTTATGAGCCAAGTGCTGGGAAATGATGCTCCAGCTAAACCATCTCTTTATCAAATAAGCTATTTAGTTATGCTGCAGCCATGGCTGCTGGCATTTAAAACTTAACCCTGCAAACTGTAATCTTCTCTTCTTAATATTCCTGCAACTTCTCTTTCTCCTTCCAAATAATATGTCTTTGACATAGGATCATTTAAAATATCTTTTCTTGTTGAATCCTTTTGCCCATGTAGGCCTGCTTTCTCAGCTCTTTTCCCCTCCATTTTCTTTCTGAAACAACCACATTTCCCTCACTCACCCCTTAACTCTTGCATGGAGTAAAGGCAGTATGTACTGTGATGTGGTTTTGGGCCCTGCTTGCAGTGGCTGGGTGGCTATATATGCTGTCTGGGTAATGCCAAGCCAAATAGAGCAGAACCAGGCCTGCTCCTGTAGGTGTTAGCTTCTTTGTCCTTTCTCTGTACAGTGCAGCACTTGTCCCTGAAGACATTTGCAGATTTCCCCCTAACACTAAACTTCACTTTCTGTGAAGTGCTGAGTCCCACTTTGCAGAGTCCAAGCAGAGTCCTATCTTT